TTTGTGGTTCACGTACTGCTGAAGCCTAGCTTGCAGAATTTTAAGCGTTACTTTGCTAACATGTGAGATGAGTGCAATTGTGTGGTAAGCTGAACAGTCTGGCATTGCCCTTCTTTGGGACTGGAATGAAAACTAAACTTTTCCAGTCCTGTGGCCACTGCTGAGCAGTATGCCTGAAGAAGTCCATGAACAGTATGAAAAGGCAAAAAGACACCACCCTCAATAAGCAAGAATATTACTACTGTCTGATTTTAAACAAGTAAATGTGCTCAAAATAACTATTATTAAAAATGTGCAAAGTTAGCCAAATACTAGAGATAGAAAATAATGATTTATAAAATAGAAAGTGTTCTGCATCAAAGGTAATGAAAAGCACAAATGGTATAAGTACCAAATACCAGTCTTCTGTAATCTAAGTGCAGTTGAGCAGCAGCAAGATAGCTGCCTGCAGCGGAGGTATTTTTCAAGTCCTATGTTAATTCAATAAAATACCATTGTTAGTTCACAGAAAAGCAGAAACAGTCAGTCAAAGCCTATTTTTAAAACAAAGTGTATTTGGCTTTTAAATGCTTATTTTTCTTGATTACCTCCTTATAAGAGTAAATAGTCAATTATAATATTTAAGAAAACGTACAAGATTGTATCAGCAGATTTGTAAAAATTATGGTTTACATCACTATTACTGCTTCTAATAAGGAAATACCTGTGTTGGGAAGTTATCAGCTCTATATGTCTATATGTTAAAATGGTCTTTCAATGAAATACAGATACTGTATTGATAGTCAAAATTTAAAAGTCTCATATGCAACTAAAAAATAGGTAACTTCTCATAGCCCTGATGTATAAACCATATCTGTCACATTATTTCGGTTTGCAGTTTCTTTCATCTAATATTTTCCTGCCTGTTTAATTTAGGAATCAAACACATCTAACTATTTATACACAAAATGCCACAATAATGAGGATAATTTCTATTCTGTGCTCTATGATTCCTTTTAATTGACATTCAATTGTCTAAATATTAAGTTACCAGCTAAAACAGATTATTCTGACTCACTAAAAAAAGATTTAAAAGACCTTTTATGTCATCATGTTTCTCCAGAAGAATAATAAAATTGTCTAAAGTCTGATTACGGAAAATTTCTAAAATCATTCTTTTTCTTTGATTTTTACTTTTTTATCAAATTGGTATAAATGGAACACAATATAACCATGCTATTATTACAAAAACATGTAGGTCTTCACTAAAAAGGGAGGGACTGTATCACTTCCATGCATGAAGAGCGCCTCAAAAGCAGGAGACTACCCTATGCTTCTTTCTGGAGATGAAGAAAACAGAGTAAATCAAAGGAAAATCAGAAAGTAAAAAGCTTGCAGCAGGGAATACTAGAGAACTGATGTGACTATGAACAGCGTTAATATACTACAACACAGATTTCTAGAAGTGAGAAGAAAACTTTGGTGAACCCAAAAGTGCTTTTACCTTTTAAAATGTAACATTCTTAGTATAAAATTGCAAGAATTTATTAAGCAAAGACCTGAAAGATTAATTATATATCATTAATTAGAGGTAAAGGTACATTTCACTTAAAAAACAACAGTAAAAACCCCTGAAGGCTTTCTAACAAGCTGCAGTGCTAGTCAGCAAATGTGAGACTTAAGAAAACTATCAGGAATCACGCTTAACGTTTTTATGTTCAAGGCTTTCCTACCACGTTTCTTCCACACTCCTTGGCCACCTCCTCAGCAGATCCTTCATGTTTGCAATCCCATCTGCCTTTTAGTCTTACTTCTACTACCAGCTGACAGATTTTGATAATTACATACTACTTCCATTTTTACCTCTTCCCACAACCAAAAACTAGTTGGTTGTCCCAATCTACCTGATTTCATAACTATTAGGGTTTTTAAGAACTTACACTTAATTTCAAAAATCACACTGTTTATCAGATTTGGTGTTTATAAAAAGACTCTTGAGATTATACCCAATTCACTTGTAAAATTTTAATCAGCTTCACTATGCATTCTATGTCACGTGTTGTTTTTCATGATATCTAGTTTTGAAGAATCCTCCATATCCTCACATCAAAAGCTCAAGAATCGGAAATTAACCTTAAGAAGGGAGGCGACTCTTAGGTGAGGGCCTTAGAGTTCCAAGTTGAAAAAATTGAGGCAAAAATACAGACAAGGACTACAAAGCTATTAACCTTCCACAGACTTTTGTATCAGCTATGCCAGGTATTAGCAAACACTAATGATGACAGTAACATTTGCAGTGATATACCCTCCTGCCCCTAAACATTTCAAAGGGATGATGGTTAGAGGAGTGAGATCCCAGAGGACGGTACAAGCTGGTGGTGCAGAGGATAGGTGCAGTAAATGCAGGGGCAAAGAAGGACAGCACATTGAGCATTTATAAAGAAAAATATAAGTAGGAAGAGAAAAGGACATATAGTTATTATGTGACTCTTAATTCCTTACCTACCAGAATGACATGAGTCACTATTGAACCCCAGAATTAAAAAATGTCTGATTTACCATGACTTGGCAAAACAGAGGGAGGGAGGGTGTTGAGAGGGGACATGTAGTAAAATCAGGTGGATATTTACATATAACTGTAACACATCAGAGCTCATAACATGCTTTACATATATACCTAGAGGCATTCAAAATACTTAACTGGAATGTTATCAGCAGTGATCCCTAAGCACAGACCCCCAGCAGCATGCCACATGTGGTACACCTGCTGAATGCAGCCCTGGATCTGGGGCATGACCTACTTGGTTCAAAGAATCAAGCATGCTTGTACCAAAGATTCTTGTTTGCTTGCTACTTTTCACTTTGAAATGTCTGGTATTCTGTGAATGGGAACAGAGGCAGATGCAGTGTTCAGGCAGACTAAGAGCTGATGAGGAGGGAGAAATCCTTAAAGTATTCCACATATATGAATATGAAAGAAATAGTATGGCCACTGCCTTGAGCTATGTTCCCAAAGTTGGAGAACTAAAGCAAGGTATATAATTGAATACAACTTATGAGAGACAGACCACAAAACCATTGTGTAGATGGTATCTAATTTTCAAACTACGTGTATCAGGTAGGTACAAAAGACTATAAATAAATTGTATTTACTTTTTGGAAAAATAAAGGCAAGGCTGCTGGTGGTTAATGCTCATTTTAAAAAATGAACAATTAGTTTTTCACTCATGGAGAGGACTTGAATTTTCACTGGACTTCCGATTTTAGATATGGAAAATGGACACACTGTCCTGTCCCAGTGGGGTGATGAAAGTACAGTACTATACTAGGGTCTATTGGCTAATACAATGACTTTAAGAATGCCTGGTTTACAACTGGGAAACCCTGCCTTATAATGATAAATAAATATTCAAACATAACAAAATTTAAACCAAAGAGAAATTATTCCAACTTTTCCATGCAACCAGGGTAGACATGCAGTCAAATCATCATTCTTCCCACTGTTATCTAGTACTGTTTCAGAAGGAAGCAAAATCACCTTTGAAGAATAAAAAGAACAAATTAAGTCAAATGTGACAATAGTGTTCTAAGGTTCCGCAAGGTGTAGATGAGAGCACTTATGAGCTGTTAGTAAAATTTGATTTGAGAACTATATAATGGAAATTTACCAACTGTTTGGATTATAAACCTTATAACGACTTTAACATCAAATTAACAGTGTACGTGGCAATAAGAGTGAATCTCACAGCTATAACAGCAGGGCTGTAGCAGAGATGGAATAAGACAGTGGCTAAACAGGGACTCTACAACCCAGAGGGGCTCTGGCTAACCTCAAACATCTGGTTCTGCCTTTAACTTTCACTTAATGTGTTCTGAGTACGTTCAGGGGCTTTTGCACTGAAGCAGTGTGAAGCAGTTTATGCCCAAGCTCTCCAAGTCCCACCCTATATGCCCAGCTCTCCTGGCTCACTCTATCTACTAGTACCAATGGGAAATGTGGGAAGCAGACACTTTGGGGGTGACACATCATTTCTTGAAGTTGGAAATATGCTGACTCAGATGTTAGGTAAAATATCTACAATGTTTTCAAGGCAAGACTCAGTGTGTTATTCTGAGTCCTTGGCCACTGGCAAAGATCAAAGTAGGAGGAACTTCTAAGGGCTCAAAGCTTTGACCTATGAAGCAAGACATATGGTCTGATGAAAACCAAGTAAGGTCAATGATATGTTACAGTGAGATGTGACAGTGGATTACTACTTAATATGTGACTAAAGATTTTAAAATATCCTTATGAATGTTTCCTTTCAGAAGAGAAATCAACCAGGTAGCAAGAATACTATAAAAAGGAATGTGCTGGGCTTCCCTGGTGACTCTGTGGTAAAGAATCCACCTGCCAATGCAGGAGACATGGGTTTGACCCCTGGACTGGGAAATCCCAAATGCCATGGAGCAACTAAGCCCATGCTCCACCACTACTGGCCCTGTGCTCTAGAGCCCAGGAGCCGCCAACTATTGAAGCCTGCGAGCCCTTGAGGCCATGCCACACAGCAAGAGAAGCCACTGCACTGAGAAGTCCAAGCACCCCCACCTAGAGAGTAGACCCTGCTCGCTGCAACTAGAGAAAGGCCCACGCAGCCACAAAGACACAACACAGCCATAAGTGAACAAATAAGTAAATTTTTAAAAAAGAGAAGAGAGAGATGTGTGTTTCAAGTCGGGGTGTTTTAAGCCTTTTCACCAAGCGTTTACTAAAGGCCCCTGAACTTGGTTAAGATGCCACACTATGCTTTTAGCAGCAACAGGGAAAGAAAGGCTAGTGGGGACAAGAAGGGGGCACTATCTTGTACACATGCAGCTCCCCAAGATGTGTAAAAGTTGCCGTTAAGAGATAATTTTAACAAGTATCATGCAAACAGTATCAGTACACTTAGAAGGAGGCAGAACATAGTGACAGGGCTCTATCTTGTGTTAGAAATAATGTACTTTACCAGATGATTTAGACACAAGGCTGCTTCACTTACCACTTCTGTTGATGTTTCTGCGTGTTCAGAAGTAACATGTTCTTGAAGAGATGTCTCCGTATAGCCCATTTTTCCACAATAGGGACAAGTAAAAGACTGTGGCTGTTCTACGGAGAAAGCTTCCCCACCATAGTACAAATCTGAAAAACAGAGTGGAACTCCATTGAGAAATAATTACCAATTTTTTAAAAATACAGAAAAATGTAGCTCAGTCATATCTGATGCTTTTGCAACCCCAGTGACTACAGCCCACACCAGGCTCCTCTGCCCCTAGGATTCTCCCTGGGTTCAATCCCTGGAGTCATGAAGATCCCCTGGAAATGGAGACAGCAACCCACTCTAGTATTCTTGCCTGAATAATCCCATGGACAGAGAAGCCTGACAGGCTACAGTCCATGGGATAGGAAAGAGTCAGACACGGTGGCCACATACACCTATTTTTTTAGTGTATCACTTCATTACAAACCTCTCATTATTTAACAGGAAACAAATACCTAATTTAAGAGGATAGGATCATTTCTGTGAGAAGAGAAAATGAAAGAAAGTGTTTATTATATGACAGATTTCTTCATTCTTTGGGAAATTTTGACTACCTTAAAAATACTTAAACCCATTACGTATAGACTGACCATTTATTATATGTATAAGACTTGCCAGGTGAATTTGGGATAGGAGAAGATAAATGTACTTAAATATTTTAGTGGAGAATCTAATCACAGTAGGCAAGAAGATGAAATGAAAGGCATCCAGATAGAAAGAAAGAAGTAAAACTCTCTATTAGCAGATGACAGGATCCTGTATAGAGAATATCCTAATGAATCCACTAAAAAACTAGCAGAACTCATAAACGAGCTCAGTGACATTACAGGATACAAGATCTATACCTGGAGAGAGGGGACTGGAAGACTAGGATTAATATACACACTACTGTAAAATAGATCACTAATAAGGACCTACTGCACAGCACAGGGAACTCTACTCAATACTCTGTAATGACCTATATGGGAAAAGAATCTAAAAGAGTGGACATATGTATACACATAACTGATTTACATCAACATACACCTGAAACTAACACAACACTGTAAATCAACTATACTTCAATAAAAATAAAAATAAAACAAAGCAGCAGACACAGAAGCTCTGAAAGCTGAGAAGTTACCTTTCTGTACCAGGAAGAGAAGAGGTTCGGCGCTAAACCTCTAGAAACCGCTATCAAGAGAGAGGCAAAGATTTGAATTTACATAACAACTTAACTCTGCAAAGCCAAGTTACCCTTGTTCACCTCTTATAACTGGCCTCCTCCCCACCCAGCTTCCCCAAATCTTCTTTTGTCTTTAGCTAAAGATGGTATTTAAGATGAAGGCTTGGGCCATTTCAGGGAGTTACTGTTTTCCTGGGCATCACTCAGTATACAGAAGGTAGACATGTTACCAAACTTCTGTTAGTTTTTTTTTTTTTTTAATAAAAGATCTATGACAGAAACAAATTGTTTCTCTGTAACCTGGAGTGGCAATCCAAAAGAAAAATTTTTTTAAATTCCATTTACAATTGCAAAAAGAATAAAACATTTAGAAATACATTTAACAGCAGAAGTGTAAAACTTATACTTTGATAACTATAAACTTTTGTTGAAAGAAACGAAAGATGACCTAAATAAACAGAAAGACATCCTGCATTACAGGGTAGCAGACTTACTACCAAACTGATCTACAGATACAAAACAATTCCTATCAAAATCCCAGTTGGTTTCTTTGCATAAATTTGACAAGCCGATTCTAAAATTCACAAAAAAATTCAAGGAATTGACAATACCCACAGTAAGCCTGAAAATGAACAAAGTTGGAAGACTCATACTTTATGATTCCAAAGCTTACTATGTAACTGAGACACATTAGTATTGGCATGCAGACATACAAATCAAGGGAACAGACTGAGAGTCCAGAAATTAAAAGTGACATTTAGGGTCAATTGATTTTCTTTTCTAACAGCTTTACTGATATACTTTGACAAATAAAACTGTATATATTTATGGTATACAACGATGTTTTGACATATGTGTATACTGTGAAAAGATTACCACAATCAAGCTAATTAACATTTCTATCACCTCTACACAGTTACCATTGTGTATGTATTTATATGTGTTGAGAAGATTTGAGATCTATCCTCTTCAAAAATTTCCAGTACACAATATTGTTAACTATGATCACCATACAACAGCATATAACTATGATCCATCTTCCAGCAACATCATAAGAGAAGACTCTACACATGGACATCACCAGGTGGTCAATACTGAAATCAAATAGATTATATTCTTTGCTGCCAAAGATGGAGAAGCTCTATACAGCTTCTTGTCAGCAAAAACAAGACGGGGAGCTGACTGTGGCTCAGATCATGAACTCCTTACTGCCAAATTCAGACTTAAACTGAAAAAAGTAGGGAAAACCACTAGATCACTCAGGTATGACCTAAATCAAATCCCTTACGATTATACAGTGGAAGTGACAAATAGATTCAAGGGATTAGATCTGATAGACAGAGTGCCTTAAGAATTATGGACGGAAGTTCATGACACTGTACAAGAGGCAGTAATCAAGACCATTCCCTAGGGAAAAAAAAGGCAAAAAGGCAAAATGCTTGTCTGAGGAGGCCTTACAAATAGCTGAGAAAAGAAGAGAAGCGAAAGGCAAAGGAGAAAAGGAAAGATATACCCATCTGATTGCAGAGTTCTAAAGAATAGCAAGGAGAGAAAGGAAAGCCTTCCTCAGTGATCAATGCAAATAAATAGAGGAAAATAACAGAATGGGAAAGACTAGAGATCTCTTTAAGAAATTTAGAGATACCAAGGGAACATTTCATGCAAGTGAAAGTGAAGTTGCTCAGAGTGCCCGACTCTCTGCGACCCCATGGATTTTAGCCCACCAGGCTCCTCTGTCCAAGGGATTTTACAGGCAAGAATACTGGAGTGGGCTGCCATTTCCTTCTCCAGGAGATCTTCTCGACCCAGGGATTAAATCCAGGTCTCCTGCACTGCGGGCAGATGCTTTACCATCTGAGCCACCAGGCACAATTAAGGACAGAAATGGTATGGAGCTAACAAAAGCAGAAGATATTAAGAAGAGATAGTAAGAATACACAGAAGAATTATACAAAAAAGATCTTCATGATCCAGATAATCACGATGGTGTGATTAACACCTAGAGCCAGACATCCTGGAATGCGAAGTCAAGTGGGCCTTAGGAAGCATCCCTACAAACAAAGCTAGTGGAGGTGGTAGAATTCCAGTTCAGCCATTTAAATCCTAAAAGATGATGCTGTGAAAGTGCTGCACTCAATATGCCAGCAAATTTGGAAAACTCAGCAGTGGCCACAGGACTGGAAAAGGTCAGTTTTCATTTCAATCCCAAAGAAAGGCAATGCCAAAGAATGTTCAAACTACCTCACAATTGCACTCATCTCGCATGCTAGCAAAGTAATGCTCAAAATTCTCTAAGCCAGGATTCAACAGTACATGAACTGTGAACTTCCAGATGTTCAAGCTGAATTTAGAAAAGGCAGAGGAACCAGAGATCAAATTGCCAACATCTGCTGGGTCATCATAAAAGCAAGAGAGTTACAGAAAAGCATCTACTTCTGCTTTATTGACTATGCCAAAGCCTTTGACTGTGTGGGTCACAACAAACTGTGGAAAATTCTTCAAGAGGTTGGAATACCAGACCACCTGACCTGCCTCCTGAGAAATCTGTATGCAGGTCAAGAAGTAACAGTTAGAACTGGACATGGAACAACAGACCAGTTCCAAATTGGGAAAGGAGTACATCAAGGGTGTGTACTGTCACCTTGCTTATTTAACTTATATGCAGAGTGCCTCATGCGAAATGCCAGGCTGGATGAAGCACAAGCTGGAATCAAGATTGCCAGGAGAAATATCAATAACCTCAGATATGCAGATGACACCACCCTTATGACAGAAAGTGAAGAAGAACTAAAGAGCTTCTTGATGAAGCTGAAAGAGGAGAGTGAAAAAGTTGGCTTAAAATTCAACAGTCAAAAAACTAAGATCATGGCATCCAGTCCCATCGTTTCATGACAAATAGATGGGGAAACAACAGAAACAGTGACAGATTTTATTTTCTTGGGCTCCAAAATCACTGCAGATAGGGACTGCAGCCATGAAATTAAAAGACGCTACTCCTTGGAAGAAAAGCTAAGACCAACGTAGACAGCATATTAAAAAACAGAGACATTACTTTGCCAACAAAGGTCCATCTAGTCAAAGCCATGGTTTTTCCAGTAGTCATGTATGGATGTAAGAGTTGGACTATAAAGAAAGCTGAGCACTGAAGAATTGACGCTTCTCAACTGTGGTATTAGAGAAAACTCTTGGGAGTCTCTTGGACTGAAAAGAGATCAAATCAGTCAATCCTAAAGGAAACGAGTCCTGAATATTCATTGGAAGGACTGATGCTGAAGCTGAAACTCCAATACTTTGGCCACCTGATGTGAAGAAGTGACTCAGTGGAAAAGACCGTGATGCTGGGAAACATTAAAGGCGAGAGGAGAAGGTGACGACAGAGGATGAGATGGTTGGATGGCATCATTGACTCAATGGACCTGAGTTTGAGTAAGCTCCAGAAGTTGGTGATGGACAGGGAAGCCTGGCATGCTGCAGTCCATAGGGTCACAAAGAGCTGGACACGACTGAGTGACTGAACTGAACTGATGATCACCATGCTATACATTAGATCTCTAGAACTTACTCATTGTGTATAACAAAACTTTGTACTTTTGACTAACATCACCCCATTGTCCCCTTTGCTCTAGTCAGCTGTTCTGCAACAGGTATGCCAAGACAATTCACTGGGGAGAGGATCTTCACAATAAATGACACTGGGACAACTGGATATTCACATGCGAGAGAATGAAGTTGGACCTCTAACTCATTCCACGCACAAAAATTAAATCAAAATGGATCAAAGATCTAAATGTCGATACTAAAATTATAAAACCTTAGAGGAAAACATATTTTTTTTCTTTCTTATTTTTTTTCATTTATTTTTATTAGTTGGAGGCTAATTACTTTACATCATTGCAGTGGTTTTTGTCATACATTGAAATGAATTAGCCATGGATTTACATGTATTCCCCATCCCGGTCCCCCCTCCCACCTCCCTCTCCACCCGATCCCTCTGGGTCTTCCCAGTGCACCAGGCCGGAGCACTTGTCTCATGCACCCAACCTGGGCTGGTGATCTGTTTCACCCTAGATAATATACGTGTTTCGATGCTGTTCTCTTGAAACATCCCACCCTCGCCTTCTCCCACAGTCCACAAGTCTGTTCTATACAGACTTCTGTATAGAAAACATATTTTTACAACATATTTTTACACCTTCATGATCTTGGATTAGGTGATGGTTTCCTATATATATGACATTAGAAGCACAACAAAAGAAAAAAAGATAAACTTGACATTATCAAAATCAAAACTTATGTGCTTCAAAACATATCATCAAGAAAGTGAAAAGACAACCCACAGAACGGGAGAAAATTTCTGCAAATCATTCACCTGTAAGGAACTTGTATACAGAATACACAAAGAACTATGAAAACTCAATAATAAAAGACGTATTACCCAATTAAAAAATGGGCAAAGGATTGGAACAGACATCTCTCCAAAGCAGATATGTGGGTGGCTAACCAGCACTAGAAAAGACGGTCAGCATCATCACTGGCCATCAGAGAAATGCAAATCAAAACCACGAGACACTACCACTTCACATCCACTAAGATGTCTATAGTCAGACAGATAATAACAAGTGTTGACTAGGTAAGAAATTATAGCGTGAAACATTTAAAGGTTTTCTTATGCACTGACAGTGCCTTCTAATCAACTGTACAAATAATCTGCTTCCTGATAACTACAGCATGAAGATTTCTGTACTGTTAGCAAGAATAGTCAATTTAAACTTTACTCCTCCTTTACCGAGACACTCTTTCATTTCACACTTTGCCAGCTGTATTTATTTGTGAATGGCTTTCATAAGCAAACTGTAAGAGAAAAAATTACTTAGAATAAAAAGTAAGATTTGTGTTATTTTTAATGAATTTGGAGCCTCATTATGCAATGGGGATAGTTTTAGAACATTTTGCCTTTACTTCCTCATACACGTACACAAAGTTCTAAATAATAATTCACTAAAATTTTAAATACGTACCAAAATCTACCCTTGTTAATATGCACTGCATTGGGTGGTCAGTTGTATGCCTTGTTGTTGTTGCACCACTTTCATAACAAGATGCACAAAGATCGTAATCGTAGCAAATTAAACACTTGTATCTGCGACCTCGAAAATTTCCTTTTAAACATGCATCACAGCTGACACCTATAAAAAAAGAAATATTATTAATTAGGAGCTGTAAAAGGCCACTCTTCATTTCATTTTTATAAATAAAAAGATGCACAATATAACCCCAGATTTCTTTTCCAAAATGACTGAAAACAACAATGTAAAATCAGATATGAATTTCTGTTCCCTCAATTTACTCTTCTCATGGAAGTAACTTAAAATGTTTAACAAAATGTAAGAAAACTTTTAAAATGTTTTGATGAACTAGCAAGAGGGCAACAGTCAAGTGAAAGAGGAGTGAGTAGCTGGTCTCACTCAGGGAGGCGGGCAACTACTTGGGAAAGTCTGGGCTTGCATGTTCACAGCACTGCAGGACAAAGCCCAGGTAGCAAAGACCTGCCAGGTCTGACATGGTAGGGTCTGAATAGGCAATTTCTCATAAAGGTGAGACCCTGATACACCCTCACTATACGTGTAAGCTAGCAATCCTTAGGGGATTACAAAATTTGCCCCCTGAAATCGCCTCTGCACAAAACACCACCACCACCACCCTGAAAAGTTATAACTATCCGTACAAACCAGTCCAGATTTCACATAAGTGAAAAATCCAAATTCAGACTTCCAAATGGTTCTCAGGTTAAGAATTTAGAGTAGTTCTAAATAAGCACTGGCACCAAGCATTGGACAGAAATAAAATTTCAAGGAATGACAGTTGATGACAAAATACCAACAAAAGCTTAGATACTACCAGAAAGAAGTTTGTAAGAACAAGCAGCAGAATCAGAATGGCAGAGTTGACAGCAGAACTGAATATGAAACACTAGCTCAAAACAATAAAAGAGGAGCTTAAAAAGAAGAGGCAACCAACATATTTGAAAATGAACCAAATATCTCAATATGCAAAATTTGAAACTTAATGGGCAGGTATAATAGCAAGAAAGCCTTTTATTTACATGTGATATGCCTGTTTATGTAGAAAACTCCTGCTAAATTATTAGAATTAAGTATTTTAAGCAAGGTAGCCAAACATAAACACCAATTTAATAAAATACTGATTGATTTTTCATTCCAAAAAGACAAGTATATTTTAAAACTGCCATTTGAGTCTACTTATACGAGGTACTCATGTGCTGTGTGCTAAGCTGCTTCAGTCATGTCTGACTCTTTACGACCCTGTGGACTCTAGCACGCCAAGCTTCTCTGTTCATGGATTTCTCCAGGCAACAGTACTGGAGTGGGTTGCCGTGTCCTCCTCCCATATGAAGTACCCTTGGGAACTTCACAAAGAACAAAACAAGCCCCTCCCAAACCCAGAGCAGAACAGTGGTTAGCAGAGACTGTGTGGAAGGGGAGAGGAGGAGTACTGTTTAATGGGTTTCAGCTTGGGATAATGAAAAGATTCTGGAGATGAACAGTGGTGATAGTTGCACAACAATATGAATGTATTAATTCCACTCACTGAACTGTATGCTAAAGGGTTAAAATGACAGATTTTATGTTGTGCATATTTTATGACAATAAAAAAATTACGTCATTTGTAGTAGTATTCCTGAAAAGTGCCTATGAATAAACCTAACCAAAGATATGCAGCCCTTTATGAAATAAATTAGTAAAAATGTGTTCAAAGACATTAAACAGCTTTAAAAAATAAAAACACCAGGTTCACTGACTAGAAGGTTCAACATAATAAAATACTAATTCTCCCCAAACTGATCAGTGGATTTAATACAATTCTAATAAAAAAAAAAACACAAAAGAATTTTTTGTGGAACATAATAAGCTGACTCAAATCTTTACACAATTTGCAAAGGGTCAAAAATAGCCAAGACATTTCGTGAAGGGTAACAAGATGGAGGGATTTACTTAACATAGCTACAATAATTTAGATAGTAGGATACTGGCTTAGAGACAGACAAACTAACCAAAGCAACAGAACCGAAAGCCCCTAAACTGGTGCTCAGATGGTAAAGAATCTGCCTGCAATGCAAGAGACCCAGATTTGATCCCTGGGTAGGGAAAATCCCCTGGAGAAGGGAATGGCAACCCACTCCAGTATTCTTTAGGACTGACTGGTTGGATTTTCTCGAAGTCCAAGAGACTCTCAAGAGTCTTCTCCAACACCACAGTTCAAAAGCATTAATTCTTCGGTGTTCAGCTTTCTTTATGGTCCAACTCTCATATCCATACATGACTACTAGAAAAACTACACTTTGACTAGACGGACCTTTTTGTTGGCAAAGTAATGTCTCTGTTTTTTAATATGCTGTCTACGTTGGTCAATTTTCCTTCCAAGGAGCAAGTGTCTTTTAATTTCATGGCTGCAGTCCCTATCTGCAGTGATTTTGGAGCCCAAGAAAATAAAATCTGTCACTGTTTCCATTGTTTCTGCATCTATTTGCCATGAAATGATGGGACTGGATGCCATGATCTTAGTTTTTTGACTGTTGAATTTTAAGCCAACTTTTTCACTCTCCTCTTTCAGCTTCATCAAGAAGCTCTTTAGTTCTTCTTCACTTTCTGTCATAAGGGTGGTGTCATCTGCATATCTGAGGTTATTGATATTTCTCCTGGCAATCTTGATTCCAGCTTGTGCTTCATCCAGCCTGGCATTTCGCATGAGGCACTCTGCATATAAGTTAAATAAGCAAGGTGACAGTACACACCCTTGATGTACTCCTTTCCCAATTTGGAACTGGTCTGTTGTTCCATGTCCAGTTCTAACTGTTACTTCTTGACCTGCATACAGATTTCTCAGGAGGCAGGTCAGGTGGTCTGGTATTCCAACCTCTTGAAGAATTTTCCACAGTTTGTTGTGACCCACACAGTCAAAGGCTTTGGCATAGTCAATAAAGCAGAAGTAGATGCTTTTCTGTAACTCTCTTGCTTTTATGATGACCCAGCAGATGTTGGCAATTTGATCTCTGGTTCCTCTGCCTTTTCTAAATTCAGCTTGAACATCTGGAAGTTCACAGTTCATGTACTGTTGAATCCTGGCTTAGAGAATTTTGAGCATTACTTTGCTAGCATGCGAGATGAGTGCAATTGTGAGGTAGTTTGAACATTCTTTGGCATTGCCTTTCTTTGGGATTGAAATGAAAACTGACCTTTTCCAGTCCTGTGGCCACTGCTGAGTTTTCCAAATTTGCTGGCATATTGAGTGCAGCACTTTCACAGCATCATCTTTTAGGATTTAAATGGCTGAACTGGAATTCCATCACCTCCACTAGTTTTGTTCGTAGTGATGCTTCCTATGAACCAGTCACTCCTAAAGGTAATCAGTGCTGAATACTCATTGGAAGGACTGATGCTGAATCTGAAACTCCAATACTTTGGCCACCTGATGCGAAAGCTGACGGACTGGAAGAGACCATGATGCTGGGAAAAATTAAAGGTGGGAGAAGGGGACGACAGAGGATGAGATGGTTGGATGGCATCACTGACTCAATGGACATGAGTTTGAGCAAGCTCCAGGAGTTGGTAATAGACAGGGAAGCCTGGTGTGCTGAAGTCTGTGGGGTCGCAAAGAGTTGGACTCGACTGAGTGACTGAACTGAACTGAACCAGTATTCTTGCCTGGAAAATCCCATGGACAGAGGAGCCTGACGGGCTACAGTCCAAGGGGTCGCAGAGTTGGATGTGACTGAGTGACTAACACACAAACAGATGCACACATGTTGAAATGTGTGTCACGACAGTAAGGTCACTAGAGATCAGAGGGGAAAAGAGGGAGTAGACAGTAAATGGCACTAAGACAGGTGATCTCCTTGCCATATACGGGGACAATAGAGTTGGATCTCACCCACAGGTTCCACACACAGGTATCAATTCCAGATAGTTTAAAGACAAGTGTGAAAGGGAAGTGAGGAAAATCTCTGAAGACAATATAAGGGGAATATTTTTATAAACTCAAGAGTAGGAAACCATTTTCTTAACACACATACACATGGCCCAATAAACTCAACCACATTAAAATTATGACTTTTCCTTCAGTTTTAATATCCTAGAGTGATGGAAAAGACAAGGCCCAGAATCTGGTGATAAATACAACATACACGACAGATAAGAGTTAGGTATATAGGTATATAGGATACATTAAGGAACTCAAATATATCAGGAAGAAAATGACCAACATCCAATAGGAAAATGGGCAAAGACTTCAATGGGCACTATAAAGAAGAGCAAACAAAACTGACCAATAGATACACGAAACGACGCTCAATCTCATTAGTTATCAAAGAAGTGCAAATTAAAACACCATGAGCCATTATTTTACATCAACTGACTGCAAAATCCTAGAAGCCTCTTGATATCAAGTGCTAGTGAAGACAAGGAGCAACAGACATGCTTCTATGCTACTGGTGGGGACATGTATCAGCAAAACCATTTTGCAAATTTTGTTCACATTCTAGTCAAGTTAAACATGTACAATTACTATGTCTCTGCAATTCAATTCAAATCAATTCCCTGGGGCATCTTTTGTCCAGGAGCATCAGAAGAATGTAAAAGAATTTTTACAGTGGTTTTTGTAATTGAATAAAAAGGCTGTTAACAACCCAAAGGCCCATCAGACAGTCCATTACAGAATGAATTAAAAGATAATGGGGACTTCCCTGGTGGTCCAGTGGGTAAGACTCCAACCACCCAGTGCAGGGGATCTGGTTCATTCCTGGTCAGGGAACTAGATCTGGCATGTCCCAACTAAGATGCCTGCTTGCCACAAGGGAGATTCTGCGAGCTGTAAAGGAGACACAGTGCAGCCAAAATAAATAAATATTTTAAAAAAAGAAAAAGAATAATGAATGACAGCCTAAAACAGTGGGTGAACACAGGCATAAAATCAAACTAAGTTATAAAACAAGTTAGAAGATACATGCCATGGAGAAAAAGAAGTAAAAAAGGATAAACAGTGTGGACAAAGAAAGCTCACCGAAAGGATGATGAGCAAAAAGATGGACTACTGTAAAATTTGCCTATTCAAAGCAGCCTCCAAGCACGACGATGCACAACACTGAAGATACTGAAGAGGGTAAGTACCT